AGCCCCACCTACTCACACCTGATCCTCATGTGTCTCCCTCAGGTGTTTGTTTGTTAGTTGGTATGTCCATGTTTAGACTCTTGTTCTGCTCTAGCTTTCTGGTTCCTGATTTTTGTTATTTATCTGTTTTTGCCACCACGTTGGCTTTTTATTTAATAAATTTTGTTAAACTTTCTTGTCTTGCCTGCCTGCCTGCATTTGGGTTCACCCTGCCTCACAACCATAACAAACGGATTTTAGAGAAGATAGATGTCATTTTCCAACAATATGACACAACACAGAACTTAAACTGTGTCAATTTATTGCATGCAGTTCAACGAAGCCTGAGATTAAGCTGTGTCTGAAACAAAATGCAAAACAAGAAATATTTGTCCACATGGGTGCTCGTGATTTGTGCATATCCAGGCCCAGACTAGTTTTCACAACCTGTTGTTGCCCAATTGCTCAGTTTAAAAGTCCAAACATAAAAACCTTATCATTTGGTAGTCAAAATGAAATATCCTTATTTGCAAGTAGTCATAATATTATTTCATTCACGTGTATAGATTATTTTGCAATCAGTCATAACATTACGTAATTTTTCCCTCCACATTTCTTCTGATTAAACATGATCAAATCAACTGATTAAGTGATTAGATGCATAGAAAAAACTGCTACATTGTTCCACAATAATAAACACAAGCAGGAGAGTCGGAGCAGGAGGTCTTCATCGATGTGTAATTGAAAATGTACTCATCACACTCTACTCTACTGAAATGGAGAGGCAGATGTTTTTGTGAGACAGAAGGCCGAGTGTGTGTCAAGCAGAAAATAATAGGCGACGAAATATGTAAAATGTGGGAAATGTTTAGTTTAGTTAGTTAAATTAATTTACTCATTTCATTTTAAAAGTAAAAATAAAAATTTTAGATACAGATACTTTATTGTTCAAACACATTAAAACTGGGCTGCAGACAAGTCTTATGTGGCGCAGGTGTTCGATTTGCACACCCTTCAGACTTTATTGGACCTTTTCAGGCTGATTGTTATGAAAGGGCAGGAATGTACAGAAGTGGTGCAAAGGTGAAAAAGAGAGGCATTGTTTAGAAACAAGAATTTACATCAAGATGTGAAATTTAATGGAACTGCATTTCTTGCAGGAGAACATGCACCATATGTGTGTTCTTCAGAGATAAAAGCCTGTGTTTGTATGCTACTTTGTGCCGTTTTGCACATTTATTATATTAACAAAGCAATAATGTAATAAAATGCAGTAATTGCAGAGAAGCTTGTACGTGCAGTCTGGACAAATGAAAGCATTTCACGGTTCATTATGACCAAATAAAGCAAGTCTTCACGTGCTGCTGAATCTGTCAAATAAAGTTACAGAGTTTGTAGAAGAGTTTCTAATTTTCTTTGGGGTTTTTTTAAATTTCGAGATCTGTAAGATTACTAAAAATGACTGTAGCATTAAGCAAATAGATATTCCAACAGATGCTACAATGCTGGAATCAGTGAAACAGCAAAAGGTTAAAGTTGATGATTATTCAGGCATTAACTTCAATCTGAATTCTAAAAGACTCATTTAATATACTTGATTTACAAAACTGGGGTTTCCTTAGAAGAGATGTTTGCAGCTAAAGTTTTCACCAACAAATTTGAACCTGTTCAGTCATTAATTTTTCCAAAACATTATAAACCTTATTTGTCTTTACCTGTCTAGACATGAATCAAATCCGTTAACTATGCTGCTGGTGTGGTGGTAGTTGAGCTTCATCCCTGACACATACTCTGTGAGCGTCTTTGTTTCAAACTTTGGCAAGGAATGGCGGCAGATGATGTGTAATAGTTCAAAAAGTCAAGTACAGCAAGTTTAGCTGAAAATGAAACAATGTTACAGAAAAATAACCTGATCTGCACAACATATCGTTTGAACATTGTCATCGCAATGTACGCGTGTAAAATAGTCACATTGCAGCTCCTGCCATGAAGGAGGCAAATTATCATCGTCTCATCTTAAACCATGGTAGAACTAAGCGATCACGGGTTACAGCTTTTATTGTGACGAGTTGCTTCCACCGGTGGAAGCGGGCGGTTTCATCAAAAAAAGCTAAAACTTTCATTTTATTGCGAAATGTCTGGGACAATAATAGCAACATTTTTCAGAGAAGTGTTGTCCGTGAGTTTTCGAGCTATGGAGGAGGACAACAAGAATCTTGACAAAAATGAGGAAAATGGGGAAATTTGCAGAGAACTGGAGGAAAGGAGGTAAAAGATGGTTAGCATGAATGCAAATATTAAGACGGAAACAGAAACTAAAAATAGATGGTGGTAAAACTCTAACTTACTGTATGTGCATGATGTGAAGGAAGCGTGTCGGGTCAGCACAACAAAAGCAAACAACTAATAACAAGAATAACTCTCAAATACAGACAAAAAACATACGTTACATGCAGAAAAAATAGGTAATGTCAGGTTCATCATCAGCACGACGGCAGAATGGCAGCATAACTTCGTGTTATTCAGGTCCTCTGTTGAAAATTCCTGTATTTTTTCATATTGCAGTATATATCGCAGGGCTACAAAAACTCCTAAAGGTCAGTTGTTTCTAATATCATACAGCGCAACAATGTATTATATACATTATTACATCATTGATAATCTGTTGCTCTGTCTCTCTAATCATGACAAACCACGGACTTGGTTCCGCAAAAACGTCCTCCAGCTCCCCTTTGTTTAACCTACTCACTCAGCAACCAATAAAAAGTGTTTGCACAACATTACAGCCACTGCTAAGATAATTTTGCACATTGCCGAACCGTATTGTTTCATTCTGCTGCTTTTTCTACGTAAACATACAGACACGTTAAAGCCTCAGCGTTAGCATCCACATAAACAAGAACATAAGAGCAACATAAACTGGTGAATTACTGGAAAGTATGCAGCACAAGTGCAACTCTTCTGTCATCAGCAATACTATCTCCATTCACAGAAATAGGCCGCCATTATCTCCAAATAACCAAGATGAAGTCGACACCAAGATGTCTGCAAGCAAACAAGCTCTTGTGTTTCAAAACAAGGTTCATACATTCAGCATGACTGACCCCACCTTTTGGTGTTTTTAATATGATATCAAATAATCAAACCGATAATGAAGATGTTTTTTTCTTTTAAATGAACTCTTTTGGTTTGACTGCACCTAAAGCATGAGAAAGATTATTACCCTGACTTTATTTTCTTTCTTTCTTCATTCCTCTTAAACAAATGGTTTGATTTGTTTAGGACACGCAGCTGATCCAAACTTCAGTGTGGGAGGCAGCGGTCCGGAGCAGATGTAACGACTTAACCCCGGCGACCTCGGCCGTCCTGCAGGAGCAAATAAAACGTCAGCATCCGGCTTCGCAGCCTCTCAGCTGACAGCTTCACTTCCTTCTCACAGAGCTCGTCTCCTCCTTACAGGAATCACTCAGAATGGGAAGGGATGTGGGGTCTTCGGTGCAGCCGTGCGGATGATAACAAGGCTGTAATGCAAACTGTGTGCGGCATTCACAGAATGGATTGTTAAAAAAAAGTGTTTATTCAACAGAAAATGTTCATTTAGAACCAGTTGTCTGAGTGATCATTTGTCACATCTTAAATATTTAATATATGGCTATATATTTTTCCTCTGAATTATCATCAGCCATGCTCAGGTAGAGACAACAGGAGAATCCACAGCTTCCATAGCAGAGAAAAGAGCGCCACTTAAAGACAGGTCATCGACTCACATACCACCTGTAGGACTGACAGCTGATCTGCTGAGGCTGAGATGCAGAGGGGCAAAAAACTGCAAATCTTGTTTTTTTTTTCTTTTTAGGCTTGATGGACCAAAAGCAGAGCAACTCAAACTGATTGTACAGTAATCTGCAAATCTTCCCCTTACCGTAAAACGAATAAGAATCAAAATGTTTTCACGTGAGAAAAAACAAAGCCTGTGGTCAGTGCACAGCTGGTTCGAATCTAAGGGCTTTATAGATGTTTCCTCTCAGAGCCACACTCTTAAAAACAAGATAAATCGCCTCCAGTCATGCGAGGAAGCAAGAGTTGCTTCATATTTGCTAAGAGGGGAAAGCTTTTTATTTAAAAAAAAAGACACTTAAAAAAATCAAAGAATTGTTGGGAAGATTGATTGTCAAATAATGAGTGAAGATGTGACCTTTACAGTAACAAACACATTTTCACCAGCAAACACATGGTGCCATTGAATTCTCACACTTTGTTGCACTTTTACATTTGTTTTCCATCTTTTAAAAAAAAAAAAAAAAAGCACAATGAAACATGAGCAACAGGTATAACCTCACAAATTGGAATGCATCATATTGCATTCTGCTTCATCGACACAGTTTGAGCCCACTGGAATATTTTAAATACATTTTAAAGAAAATGGGAGGGGGGGGAAATCATCATTTCAAGCTTGTTCTTGCTTTTAGATTAGTAGGTTTAACTTTTCTCTCGTTAAAATGCCAAAATAATCTTTTAGGGTTTTGAGCAACTGGTGTTTTTTTTTACAGGTTTCTATTATAAATGAGATTGCATATAATTAAAAAAAATAAAATATTTAATTATGTTCTGATTTTAGCAAATAGCAGGAGCAACATCTCAGAGTGGAAAAGATCAGATGCAGGAGAGAAAAAAGGAAATGAAGTTGCTGTTTATCATCACTGATTCATGCAGATGGGTTTGATGATCAGAGCCACATAACACCAAGTGGTTCCGTTTGTCAAGTTAGAAATGTTTTCTTAACTAAAACCAACAGATATGAGACATGACTCCCACCCTCTGTACTCACACAAAAGCGTGGTAGACGAAAGCCCACTCTCTGGGTCTCTCCAGCACGTTGTAGAGGTAATTCTGGAGCTTCCGGTAGCGCGCGTTCCTGCGGCCGCTCTGAGAGCTGTAGGTCAGCGGCTTCCCCAGCAGGCTGAGCCGGGCGCCCTGGTGGTTCCGGACCGCTCCCGCAGCAGCACCTGCCGCGGCCGAGGACAGTAGGAGACCGTCCCCGACGAGCGCCGCGTTGTTATTCATCGCCCTGCGTCCGCACTCCACATCCCTCAGCGGGTAGCCCTGCTGCGCCCGGCTCCCACCGGCACCACCGGTGGAGGTCTTCACCCAGAGCCCCGAGCCGCCGCTCTCGTCGCCGCCGGCGTGACTCCGTGGCATCACCAGCGCAGGGAGCGTGGAGGAGTGCGCTTCATCCACACATGGAGCCGGGCGCGCTTTTCTCTCTCTCTCTTTATCTCTCTCAGATAAATGTGGGGAGGGGGAAGAAGGGGGACTCTGAGTGAGTTGACTCTTGACTAAATTAAAAAACAAAAGCGGTGGTTTAAGGGGTTAAAGTTCTACTCAGCTCTCATTATGTCACCCCTGAGCAGATTCACTCTCCACGGTTTGGACGCTTCGGACATCCGCACGAGCCTGAAGAAGAGCTGGGCTGTGATGAAGGAGTGGACCTGCGGAGACATTTGTCGAAAGGGGGAGGGACGGTGGTCTCTCCACCCTCCCCACACTCTTCTTCTTCACCAAATCACTCTGCTGCTCTGTGGCTGCTGGTTGGCACAAATGAGGCGCATCTTTTGGCCAAATTTAAAGCGTAAAACCAGTCCCTCAGCTCAGACACGCGTTTGTTTTGGCGCACAGTCTGCCCTGTGAAAATAATCTGCTACGTGTTGTGGGAGTACGGTTCTCCCTGCGTGTTTCCTATGGTCCTATATACCTCAGCTTCTTCCCTTTTGTTATTATTGAAGAAACGGGAAGGAAAATGGATTCCAGTTGTTTATCACATTATGTAATTATAATAAACTTTTATATATATTGATACGTTTTACAAATTAAGGCAAATAGAAAGACCAAACTTTGGAAAATAAATGTGTTTATGTCTTTTGACAAAAATGCAAACAGTAAAACACTGAGTACTTTTTTTTATGTTTGACATAAATCATAATTATAACAGTTTGTTACATTTCACTCAAGAAACTGACTTGTTAACCATAAATTTATTTTTGTCATTTCAGTGGATACCACAATTTTTTCTAATTAATCTAAAACCATTTCAGCTTGAAGCAGGATCATCTTCTCATATACCTGCGAAATGACTTTGATACATGGACTGATAATAGAAGATTTCTATAAAAGGCAAAAAAGAATGAAGACCAAAAAACATCATTTTTGAAGACTATTATAATTTCTGAGCACAAGATGGGGCTCAGCTGCTATAAAATAATTACAAATACACTAAATGCAAACTTTTCAGGGACATCAATTATACAAAGAAAAGCAACACAAAGTTAGATTTTGTCATTAAGTTATTAAGTCAGACTTTTATTTGCAACACAAATTAGCAACAAAAACTGTGTTCTTTTTAAGGTTGAATAAATCAGAACACTGCTTCATTCATTGATTAGGTTTGACATTTAATTAATTCAATTCACTTTATTTATATGCCTGACAAGGATGGGACATTGTTCAACAAAGCAGCAGAGCTGAATGACCAGACCAAGACAACAATAAAAAAAAGTAAGTGCAGTTTTATTTACAGGTGGAGTTTGGTTTTGGACATCAGCTGAAAAGGAGAACGTAGAAGGTGAGTATTGGTTCTTGGAAGAGTAATTTGTTGTAGATATTTTCTTGTTAATATGTGATTCTTTCTTACAGATTTTCCAGAGGCGAAGAGTTCCAAAGGAAGAGGTTTTCAAAGGCAGGTGGCAGTTCTTCAGGCAGAGTGGCTGTGACTGTTCCGTGGTGAGGTTCTTTGTTTTCTGACCCAACTTGGAGTGAGGACTTCTTAGCATAGAGTGTGGCTTCTGTGATCTTGGGTAATCCACCTTGGACAAAGGATGAATGAGGTAAGTACAAAATATATTCTTTAACATAGAAACTAGGAGCTAGAAACCACCATAAAGGTTAGATGCATCAGCGTGGATCAACTGAAGGAGGAGGCTTATAAAGCTGCTGCTGATCATTAGATAAATCCCCAACAGGTGTGTGTAATCAGGGTCAGGTCACCAATCACCACACAGGAACACAGGTAGAACTGATTGTTCACAATGCCAAGTCACAGCATATGTTGTCTCAGGGCACTGTAACAAAAAAATTATTAAAGAAGCCGGCAGATTCATCACAGTCTCCCATCCTGAGCAGCACACTGGTGACAGTGGAGAGGAAGAACTCCCTTTTAACATGAAGAAAGCTCCAGCAGAACAAACTTCAATTAACAAACTACAGTGATTTACAAAAAAATGTTTTAGTTAGATTCAACACTGACTGAATCAAAAAGTTATGGATTCCCCAGGCCGGCGTAGCGAAGGGGGGAAGGTGGTCCGTGCTGCACCCGGAGCAGCACAGACAAAGCTTCTCCCCTGCGTGTTCAACAATAATTTGTACTAAATGGCAAATCATGTTCATGTCAAACTGCAACACTAAACACACAACACATCACGTACTGCCGTCATCTGCACGTTCATGAGGAACAAACGTTTCCTTCAGCAGAAAGTCTGTGGGTAAATCTTGCTGTGCGCTGTCATTATTTTCCAAAGTAATCACGAAAATGTTTACACAAACTACAACTCTCTCCAACAATATTGCCAGAACAATGTCATCAAAAATAAAAATAGAATGAAGCCATGCATCTCTGTTCTACATGACTTTTGTAAAAACAACAGAACTAACGTCATCCTGTGAAGAAGTGGGAGAGTCTTCGCCATGGTTACCAGGTGAGGGGCTGGGCTCACCTTGGCGTTGCTGGGTTACCTGGATTGTGATGTCACAAACTGCAGGTTTTTGAAACAGTTCATTTGCTGACACTTAAAACCCCATTTACGTATTGTCAAAAAAACAACAGGGAGTATTTGTTTTGGCACTTGGACTGTTTCTGGAAGCAGTATGGACCCAAATGGAAGCATGAAAACATGTAAAAAAAAAAGTGAATTTTGTATAATAGGTCCCCTTTAAGCACTAACCCATCACCCTAAAAGCCAAATCACAGAATTCAGACTGAGCTCTAATCAGGTTTCTGAGTTCAGATTTCTGCCAAGGACCAAACATTTGGAGAGCAGAAAATGGAAGAGGCTGCAGTCAGCACGTGTTTCTGGAGGAAATGAACCTTTCATTAGACCAAAATTACCAGAATCACTGAAATTGGATATGAAAGATGACTTTTTGAACACAACTGTCAACCTGATCAGGAACACAATGAAGCAGGTGGTCAATAATTTGCTACATTTTATTCTCATGCTCTATGTAATAAAATAATAATAATAATACATTTTCTCATCTTTCCCAGGTGAAATCAGTTCCTCAAAGATCAAACCACATCATCAGGTATGACACAGAAGATTAACTTTTTATATATAAATATATTTAGTCCTTTTACCTGTGCCACAAAATTAACCAAAACAAACATATTTATTAAAAACTGACAGACGAAGAATACACATGAACACGTTCAATCATTATAGTTTCTTCTTACTTGCTACTCGAACTTCTCTAAACTCTGAAAGGTAAGAAAACAGCCTGTAAGACTGAAAGGGTCTTAAGGCCTCAAGCAGCATCTCCTCCTTTACTGCCTCTTCAGATTCTACCAGACCATTGTGATCAGTGTCCTGTGTCAAATAAGGCAGCAGATAAAAGTTGTTTTTTTCCACTTTTCCTAAAAAAAAGCCTAAATCCCAATCCTTACCATCCTGTTCACTGCTTTTTCCACCAGGTCTTTGACTGCATCTTCATGGTCCTCCTCTGCCAGTCTGGAGAAGCTGTTCTTCAGAAAGTGAAATGTCTCCTCTCTGGAAATGGTCACCATTCAGGTCATACACATGAAAGCAGTCTGAGAGGGAGGGAAAAAGGGAGGTTATTTGTTGGAAACATCTTTCACTTCTGATTTGTGTTACAGATTATTATTTACGCTTAATTTTTCCCTTCAAGGTCCCCTGAAGAAAATCAAACAGCTCCTCGATCCACTCCTCCAGATAAATCCACCACTGTCTTTGTCAAAAGCCCTGAAAACTGACAGCAAATAAATCATTTAAATACCGTTTCTGTAAATGTTGTAACCGTGTAAAGTTCATTTAAAGCCTCAAATCAATAAATGACAAAGACAGTGAGTAAATTACTGAAATAGTTTCAAAAATACATCTCTTTTTAATTTTTTTCAATAAATATACATTTATAAACACATTTAATATGTATTGTATTACCAGCTGCATTTTTATCTAACTAAAATGTTTTTAACCATGTGGTTTTTGTTGCCTTTGTCCCAACCTTTCCGTATTGTTATGTTGCCAAAGTCAGAATAAATGTCTTACAAAGATGACTAAATGCATCTAGTTCATTCATTTTGTGATTTACTGTGTGTCATTTAGAAATATAGGCTTTAATGAACTTAAAAGCCATTTTTTAATTTTTAAATTCAATTTAATCTGGTGGTTCAATTGAAATTCTTTAATGACAATGCCATTAAACTACACCTCAGTCTGCAACAGATTAAGTTCAAGTCAAACTACAGTTCAATTTAAACCAAATAAACATATGAAATGTAACTTTTAAGAAGTTGAGTTGTTCAGAAAATGTTATCAAACAATCTATTATCGTTTGGTCAGAATTTCAGCACTTCTCAGATATTTACAGACTCGTTAAAAGAACAACTGTTCAAATGTTTTAAAAATTATTTTTAAAAATATTTTTTAATATTCCATTTTTAAGACTTTCTAATCACAATATTACAAGCCTGACCTCTCGTGGTCAAGTGTTGGAATCACAGGGATAAACAACAGGCTAAAAAAAAGACTTTTTCTACAGTATTGCATTAAAATCAACTTTTACTGGTATAATCGACATAAAAAGCTTTTTCTTTGTTAATACTATAATTCAGCAGTTCTTTCCTACAGCTGCAGAAGTTGCAGCGTGTTGAAAGCCTAATGCAACAAATTGTTTGAACAATTTGGTAGCATTCTTCTTGTGGTTATTGATTGTTTGTTCAAAACGATCCTCTGATTTAAGTGGTAGCTGGCAGCACAAGCCTGTGTGATTTGTTGCTGCAGAAAAACTGACAAAAATTTCAGCACCAAGGACAGAGTGTCTGTTTGGCGTTAGAAAACCTCACCTGTGCCGTGGCTGCCTCCTCCCCTCCCCCTCCGCCCTGCGCGCGCGCGCACGCCCGCACGCACACACACAGACGGGGGGGGGGGGGGGGGGGTGGAAACATAGCCAAGGATCATCACAGTTTTTTTTTTCCTGTGGTCTGCCCCGCCCACACATTTTACTGCGCGACCAAACACTGCGTATTACGGTATTCTGTTTGAGAAGCCTTTTTTTTTTTTCATAAAAGCGGGATTTTAGGTGTTGTTTCATGTCGTCAATCAGCCAACCAATGACCCTCAAATCTGACT